TTACTCTAAGCTGATCATTAGGTTTGCCTATCAAGAGGATGACAGTGATATAAGACAGTGTCACATTTTGGGAGACTATTCCATGAAAGTGAAATCAGAAGGGACCATCCAGAGCTTTGTTGTCTAGTACAGTAGCCACTAGTCATACATGGCTATTTAAATTTAAACTAAGTAAAATTAAAAATTCCATTTTTTGTCATGTTAGCCACATGTGGCTAGTGGCTACCATATTGAACAGCACAGGTAAAGAATATTTCCATCACCGCAGAAAATTCTATTGGACAGTGTTGCTCTAGACCAGTGGAGGAAGATTAGATTTGGACATAGGGAGACAGAGTTTAATCCTTAGTTCTCTTCTTTCTAGCCACGGCGTCTTGTGCCATTTGGTTCTCCTTTATTATCCTGAATCTCACGCACACCTATGTGTGCAGACACACACCCACACACCCTGATACTCAAACAAGGCTGACAAAAATAACCATCACAGTAACCTTCTTGAGGCCCCAGGGAAAAACCAACCCACAAGCCCAGCTCTGCTGAACTGACCTCTAACCTGCTGGTTAGTTATCTCTAGTGCATGACTGAGGACAAACACTTCCAGAATCTCATTCTCTATGCACAGGAATTGTATGGGTGCCCCAGCACCAAAAACCAAACCTCTGGTCATCAAAAGGTCACAAAACTAAATGTTTTTGTGGCAACTTGGAGGTGGAGAAATACAAACCGCAAAGCAATAGACTTTTAATAGGAGAACCAGTTCAGAAAAATAAAAAAAAGAAAAAAGTGTTAATCCTTTGACATATAAGCTCTAACGATTGAATAGTGCGTATGGTGGAAATCTTATCTCCTAGGCATCTTCCCTGCTGCCAGCTGAGCATCCTCAGAGCGCCAGCGTACACACAAACCCACCCTGGAAGAACAGCACAGCTTCTTTGTGCACGGGGCATCATCCCTGTGCCACATGAACTTTTTCTGACTCCTTGGAACTGCCAGCAGCCATTTCACTTGGATTCTGGCTGTGACAAAAGCAGCACTACTTCCCTGGCATCAGATGGAAAATGTAATTTTATGAAAACTCAAAAGTTAAAAATCTTTCAAAAGTCAAGACCCTTCAATGTGTGCTAGAGCCATTCATTTTTGAAAGACTTTCCTAAGATCTTGAAATTCCAAGAACACTTTCAAAATTCACACATTTTTCTCTATCATAAAATAGATACCTTTCTGTCATCTCTCACACAGACTTCCCCTCATTCTCTGTTTGGTGAAGGATTTTTGGTTTATAAGTCACTCAGTTCTCTCTCTACTCTATCAGGGTAATGCAAGTATTAAAAGAATCCTAGGATATGGGAGCTAGATGGTCCTTTAGGGATGGTCTAGCTCAGGCTTCACAACTTGGGGTCCCCAAACAACTAGGGCATTCGTTAATGGGCTACAGGAAACACATGAATCTTCTATTGTACATAAAATCGTGTATGGGAATTTTTCTGAGAAAAAGGTCCATAGCTATTATCAAATCATCGAAGACCAGAAAAAGGGCAAGAACCATTGATCTAGCCCATTTTAAATAAGAAAACTGAGGTTCAGAGAAATAAATTAAACTTCCAAAAAGTCACACCAGCTAGTTTTTGACTCAAGTCAAATGAGAAACCCTTCTCCAGAATCATAATCCACTACAATCTCGATTATAAAATGCCGCCTGTTATTTCTTCTTGCCTAATAGCTAACCCACATGCCACACTAAATTAAAAATCTTTGGATCTGTTGTAATTCAAAAAAGGAAAAGAAAATCACAAATGAGAATTTGGGGCTTTAAGGAAATGTGCCATTGTAGATGTGCTGTGTTCTGTGTTACCACTATACAAACTCTCTAATAGTTACTTACATTGACAGAAATTTGAGGAATTCAATGTTGTTTAAGAAAACTGCATTTTGCCTTTCTTTAAATTTTAGAACTATTATAGAAAGATGCACCCACCACTGGTCATTTTCTAGAGACATACTATTTGTTTTCTTTTTAAATAAACTCATTTACCAGGTTCTGCTATATGCCTTAAATTTGAAATGTAGATAAGCACATGGGTTATTAGGACATGCATATGTGTTAACATTACTTGCTCACCAGCAATTTTTAAGAGGTTAAGGGGAAAAAAGGTATTTGGTTTTTAATTGAAGTTTTTAAGATACTTAATGTGCATTTACTTCTTCCACAACATAAGGGTTAAGAACCTAGACTTAAAACAAACTTAGACTTAATCTTGGCCCCACCACCTACCAACACACAAGCTCTGTGACCTTGGACAAATCAGTTAATCTCTCCAAACCACAACTTTCTCATCTGTGCAATGGAGATAATAATAGGAGGTACCTCATAGAATTGTTACAAAACAATAAGCTCACGGACTTTGTAAAGTGTATGGTATAGAGACAGCGGTCAGTAAGGGTCAGCTCATGACTACAAAACTTTAGATGCCAAAGGTTATATATCTTAAAGTATATAAGAATACCAATAAACCCATTTGTAGTGGGTTGAACAGTTTCGTCCCCCCCCCAAAAAAAAATGATATATCCTCATCCTAACACCCAGAACCTGTGAATTTGACCTTATATGTAAAAATGATCTTTGTGGATGCATTAATAACTAAATTAAGGATCTTAAGTGAGATTGTCTTGGACTATTTGGATGGGCCCTAATATAAGAGATACACAGAGGAGGGACACATGAAGGAAGAGGAGTGACCTGTGAAGATGGAGGCAAAGATTGGAATGATGCAGCCACAAGCCAAGGAGCACTGGGAGCCACCAGAAGCTGGAAGAAGCAAGGAAGGAATCTCCCTGAGATCCCTCAGAAGGCGTGTGGAGCTGCCAACACATTGACTTTGGACTTCTGGACTTCAGTACTGTGCAAGAACAAATATTTTTGTTTTAAGCCACCAAATTCATGGTAATTTGTCACAGCAGGCACAAGAAACTAATACATCCATTATGTCTTATGTGTAATTATATGCACTATTGATGTACACTTACATAATCTACCACAATATAAAATTGGGATTATTTTAAGCAGTTCTCACAAATATTTTATTTATATTTAATAAAACTGACAAAATGTTAATCAAGGGACCTCAGTTCCTTTGAACATTTCCTTGACTTAAAAGTCAAGGTCTACCTTTCTCTGGGGCTGCACCAGAGTTGATGCAGTACACAAAGTATGGGGTCATTTCAGAAACCTACTGTCTGCTCCACTCCCCTGGTCCCTGTTATTGTCTCCTTACTCCTCAAAGAAAACAGACTTACAGGAAGCATCTCACTTGGTTTCACAACAGAGAGGGAACAAGCACAGTCTGTCAAATGCAGGGATGAACCCCAAAACCAAATTAAAGCAGCACGCTACAGAAAGGGCAGCCCAGCAAAGGCACATACCACTTAACTCCTGTAAATAGAATCATTCTTCTGCCTTTTTTGAGGTTTCAGAATAATCAGAGTGGTGCTCAGAAGAAAACAAAAATGTAAGCAATTCTATTTCACTCTATTTGCAAGTAGGTTAAATACTAACCTCTTTAGGAATCTTTACATGCCTGTAAAGTGGCATTGCCCAATCATTACTCAGCAAGGCCACCCCAATATCCTCTTCAACTTCCTTCATGTAAGGCCATAAGACAGACATGTATGCCAAGGTAAAGTCTTTTCAGTGAAAATGGTCAAACCTCTTTTGTCACCTGCCCTGATGACCAATGTGATCAAAATGCACGGCCAATCTGGTCACGTGGTGCCTGGCCCAGACCCTCAGATCCCCTTGATGGGCCCAGTGTGCCTACCCCCAGCTTCCGCATTCTTCACTCCCAGGTTGCCAGTTACGACTGCTGCCATCTCTCAGGGAGGAAGACCCTTCCCACACTGGAGCTGCTTCACTTCACATGCTAAAGCTGGAAGCTCCTGGAATCTACAGCAGCCACTACCCAACCCTCACCTCCTACCCACCCAACAGTCAGGACACAGCCACTCACCCCATGTCATGAAACATCTTTCAGCTCAGGCCTATCTTAGCAATGCTGAATGTCACATGTCTACAAAATAATGTTCCTGAATCTGCACATCTAACTACCTTAGGATGTGCTTAGGTATTTTAATAGAGGTAGATAATTAATAGATAATTAATTGATAGATATTTATCTTTGATTATATCAAATATTTGTCCTGTGAGAACAAATTTCATTCTTTGAAGCAGACAAAAGTCTAGTGGACAAGGTGATGGACTATGCCAAGTAAACTTCTTGGTCCACAAATAGTATAAATTTTTTTCAGAAAATAGATACATGGTCTTATAAAAGAACTCTGAGAAACATTACGAAAGAAGCATTTAGGACAATCATAGTACTCCCAGTATTTGGATGTTTTTGTCACTGTGTGTTTAAAAGTCTGTCTCCTTAATTCCCAGGCACACTTTATATATGAATTATGAGATTAACACGCAGACCAAACATATATGTCATTCTGAGGAAGAATGGATTTCATGAAGTCTCTTTAAAAGTCTTCTGTCATTAAAAAAAAATCCTGCAACTTCTTAGTCTTTGTTGCTTTTTGCTCAATAGAATCATATGGTTTCAAATCAGGAAGGAAATCACCACTAGGACCAAAATAGTAGGGGAGACAGATAGGAGTGAGATAAAGAGGGGGAAAAAAAATCACCCTCTCTGATCAGACAGAGAGAATAAAGTAGATACTGGAGAGAAAGGTAACAGAAAAGTCAGGAGTCCTGGGTTCAAATTCTGAGGTTCCATCCTACTAATTCATTCAAATCATTTAGCCTACCTGAACCTAGTTTTCTAACCTGTGTAATGGACATAATAACACTCTCAGGGCTTCAAGGATCAATTAAGACAAGGAATATAAAAATGTTTTGTGAACTGTACACATCAGGAAATGTTAGGGGTTTTTTCATTATGATAGATAAAAATTAATAATGTCTGCATCCCTACCCCCATGCCAACAGCACCACCTACCTGACAAAGAGAATTTTCTCTTTGTGTTCTCCCTTCATGCCTGCCCCAGCATCTCTGCAGCATCTTCCATGGAGAATACATCTTTCCCCAACTGGTGCTTTGGGCTTTTTAGATGCACAATTGGAGGACTGAGGAGAGATAAGACAAGCAAGGAAAAAAAAATGGCCAAAGGCAATTTACCTAACAAAATGCTGAAGGAGAGAGAGATGGGAAGAGAAGAGAAGAGAAGTAGCAGTGCATGTTGGAGACAGAGGAATTTCTAAGTGATTTGATGAGGGAGGCACTGAAGTAATTGCAAAATGTGAGAGGGTTGATTGAAAAAAAAAGAGCTGTTGTGGACTGTTATATTTAGATTCTATTGGAATTCCAAAATTCAAAGAGAAGAGAATTCCTTTGTAATTAGTTTTGGCTTTGAAAATATGATTCTTGAACAAGATGTAGCTTCCAGACTGAGCCAGATGGAACCCTAGATTTATAAGGGTTATAAACTGTAGCTAGTTGGACTGAGCAGTTTGGACTTATCAAGGTGCAACCATACACTTACTTTATTTTTCTAGTAACTACTACTAACTGCGCTCTGCCAAACCATCCAATTTTTCTACAGATTAGTGGACACCTTTAATGATACCACAGCCTGATTCCATAGCTTTGCAGAGACTTTCAGTTATAAAACAGTCCCATTTGGGTTGCTACGAGGTTGTCCTCACTATCTAAGGATTTGTGTTTAAGTCAGAGTTTACCACCCCTCCCCCATGGCAGTAGCACTGTGGCTCTTCCACTGTAGATAATATTATCGGCTCTCTCTTTCCTGTATGTCCTTCTTCCCTATGCTTATTCTTTTTGTGTTCCCACAGGAAGGAGGGAGAGAAAGAGTCATTTCCTTTTGTGGCTACTATGGCAAGTTGGCTGTCTTCTTCTTTGTTGGCCGAATGCACTGCTTCCTTACATGAACACCCCCCTACTGGGGCTGTTCCTGGGTCAGGTGCCTGATCTATTTAGTGGTCCATATAGTCCATGTGCCTCAGTGAGAGAGTTAGAGGTCTCCATTGGCCCCATTAATGAGGGAATCCATCCCTACCATTCCCCCTGACTTGGTGGGTCCTGAAAAATGCAACTATATCTTCCACTGACTCCCAGTGGGTGCTCTCTCATGCATGAGGCTCTTTGTTCAACACTGCAGAAGTCCCCAAAAAGCCAGAAGCCTCTAATCTCATCCATTGTCCATATTTCCAATTCTACAACCTATACTCATGATAATCCATCTTCAGTATCACTGGGGAATTAGGAAATCAAGAAGGCAACTCATTCCCTCCCTCTTCCTGCCAGTACCATCATTCGGTCTCCCACTCTGCTCTTCCCCCATTCAGACAGCACTGGGGCAGATCAGCAGGTCCAGTGACTCAGCAGGTGCCCAACCCAGGAACAAGATGTCAGCTTCCCTCTCTTGCTCACATTTGGGGGGGAAAAAAAGCCAGATGAGTACCTGCCCACAGGGGAGAAAAGATGAATATCTCAGTCCATTTGTGCTGCTATAACAAAACACCACAGACTGGGTGATTTATAAGCAATGGAAATTCATTTCTCACAGTTCTGGACTCTGGAAAGTCCAAGATCAAGGTGCTGGCAGGATTGGTGTCTGGCTGCTCTCTGCTTCCAAGATGGTGTTTGTTGCTGCATCCTCCAGAGGGGATGGATTTTGTGTCCTCACATGGCAAAAGGAACAGAAGGGCAAGAGGAACCCAAGCTAGTTTCCTCCAGCCCTTTTATAAGGCATTAATCCATTCATGAGGGTGGAGTAAAGTACATTTCCAGCCTCGCTTGCCAGGTATCCTACCATTACAAATTGGAAAAGGGAAGGGAAGAAGGGACTTAGCTTTTGGGCTTCCAGCTCCAGTCTGCATCACTCCAGCAGTAAAGGTCAGCTATGGTTCCAACTTCCTAATTCTTTTGGCACTCATGACATCAGCCTTATCACACCCCTTCAGCAAGACTAATGGCAGCCATGATAGTGGCCCCATTCAACCCCCATGAATTGAGTACCAGCTGGCCTTGCCCTTTGGACTGAGTGCCAACCAAGCCTTCCCACCTGCATGGTTGACTGTGTCCTCTCAAATCTCAGAACGCCAACCAGCTATGCCTCCCCTAGAGATCTGAGCACCAGGCCCTCAAAACTCCCTTCTGAGACATAACCACTTGCTTACAGAGGCTCCTCTTCCAAGCTCCCAGCTTCTGGTAACACTTCCTCTTCCCTCTCCAGTAATGCCTGAGTTTCACCTCTGGAGATCCTTAATTGATTGCTCTTGGGTATGGCCTGGGCATCAGGATGTTCAAATACACTATTGTGCATCCGAGGTGGAGAACCATTGCAATAAAGCATTTTACAAATAATGAGAAAGGTTTTACACTGTTGCATCTACATCTTATCACATCAATTCTCTAAGACTATCAGCACATTTTCTGATAAGGTAAGGTGGAAGCAAGGATGGCTGTGTGACTAATTCTTAAAGTCCAAAGGTAGCTGTTGAAATTTTACAGGCCCAGCACTAGTAGGTACTGCACAGGAAACAGAGCAGTGAAAGACATGGTTCCTTGTTATCAGATCACCGTAATTTACTTAGAGAAGTCAAGATTAATACTTATGAAAACAGATTAAAGAACTATACAGAGATAACAAAGAGATAATTGGCATAAAGACACAAAATACAACAAGGATAGTTTGGTTTGTATCGAAACAATCTGCTCCTCCCTCCATGCCTCCCCGCAACAGGTGAACACACTTGCTCCCAACTACAGGTCTCAAGATATACAGCAGGTGTACATCACCTGTAGTCTTTAAGATACTCAAGTCCCACCCCATAGTCTCTGCGTCGGAAGGGCCTGGCAATCAGCATTTTAACATACTCTCCAGGTGATTCTGATAGAGGAAGTTTCTAAGCATACATAGAAAAAACTGGTTGAAGAGTTTACTCCATCCCATTTTTCTTTAGCAAGCAGTTTCCTGTATCTGAGATCCAGGTGTTTGGCTTCCCATCCCATTACCCCCTCTCCTTGCCTGAGCTCCTCATAGTGAACTGTCTTGCTGACTGCGGGCCCAGACTGCTCCTTCAAGACTTGACCAAGATCCCTGAACTGATCCCAGTTCTATTCTCTGCCCTGGCCTGTTGCTGACCTCTACTGAGCCCACACTCACCTTGGCCCTCGTCCATGGCTCTCACCCGCTTACCTCCCGGCAGCCTTCCCTCCAAAGCACATAACAAGGCTCCTTTGTGACATATGAGCTAAACTCATCTGAGCTGCCCTTTCTGGGAATTTGGGCTTAGTTTGTGCCTTGCAGTTTAGAACAGAGTGAAGTTTAATTGGCCATTAGGGCAACCCTAACCCGCAAGCTTAGGTTTGTCAATCAAGAGCTCTGAGCTAATTGGCTAAAGGCAGGAACGCACCCTCAAATATAAGAATGACCAGATTTTGCCTCCTCCCTGTTGTGGGGGGAAAGGAGAAAGAGCTAAGGGGCTTCATGCATTTCTAAATAATAGCACTTCATGGGCGTGGCAGTTTGTGCTTCACAAAACCTCGCATGTATTCCACCTGTGTTGGTTCCTTCAACAACTTTGTTGCTATTTTCATCCCCACTTTGTGGCAGAGGCAGTGGAGGACCGATGGCTTGCTTTGGAATACTTAAAACCCTCCCAAGGCCTCTTTGGTCATCAGTTAATGTTCCTCTGGGTTCATCCAGCTCTACAGCGGGACTGAGGGGCACCAAGCATGCAGCAGGGATTTTACACAAGTTATCCTTCTCCTCTTCCCCAGGCTCAGTTCTCCCTAGCCCCACTGACTTCCCTTCTGTTCCTCCAACATGCCAGGCACCTGCCACCTCACGGCTGTGACCCTTGCTTATCTCTGTGCTGGAGATATATCTCTCCAGCTATCTGCATGGCTGGCTTCCTTTGTCCCTTCCTTCCTTCATTCATTCCTGTCTTTAGTCAAAGACAGGAAGCCTTTCTCTGTGAAGCCTTCCCTAACCAATTCACTTAAAATCCCAACTCCCCACCACCAATCCCTACCTCTTCCCTGCTGTTTGTTTCTCCATAGCACCTATTATCATTTGATATACTTATTTATGTTCTTTATTATCTATCACCCCCACAATAGCATATAAACTTTATACGCACAGATTCTTACCTGTTTTCTTCACTGCACAGAGTAGGCAGTCAATAAACATTTGTTGAATGAATAAATTATATCATCTAAGCCCTCAGCATCCCCGCAAGATAAGTGTTATTAGTTCCACTTTAGAGATTAGGAAACTAAGACAGTTTAAGTAACTCACCCTGAATCTAGAGCTGCTAGATTTAGCAAATAAAAATAGGCTCAACTAAATTTCAATATCAGATAAACAACAAGTAGAAATTTTTAGAGTAAGTATGTTCAATACAATATTTGGGACATAACTTATACTAAAAAGTTACTTGTCGTTTACCTGAAGTTCACATTTAACTTGGACATCACACATACATTTTATCTGGCAGCCATCCTTAAATCGTGCTGTAAGCAAGAGACAGAACTGAGAATCTAACCTAGGGTTCTATGACCCAAAAGCCCTACCATAGTCCCTCATTCTGAAAAAAGAGGTCACACAAACCTATGCTCATCCATCCTTTCAAAGACCAGAGATGAAAAAAATCAGCTTCACAGGCCTTGCCAAAAGTTTTGGTTGCAGTCTCTGATACAGCAATACCTATTCATCAGAGGGGAAAAAAACCCCACTTTATCCTCCTGGGCTGTCAGTCTTATAGCTTTCATAAGCATTAAATTAATTTAAAAATCTAGAGCCTCTCAATGGAATTACAGTCCTCTAATTCAGTTTCCAGTTACTTATTCTATATTAATAATCCCATTCTATGACTGGCCATTGGATATAAAGGAGTTGATCTTATAAAATTTTAAAGTAAACCTGTTTCATTCCCAGGAGGGCCAAGTGTGACAGAACATATTACAGAAGATTGACAAGAAAATATCTGGGTAGCCAGGACATTCTCTGGAGCAGCATAAGATATTTAAATGATTTATTTGGAGGTGATGCTTCTGAAAAAAAAATGGCTGGCATAAAGAAACTTTTCCTGTGAGTAAGATATCCCTCCACCAATCATGTAGGGACACTAACCAAATCTAATGGTGTTTAGCTTCATCATCCTTCATTTAGATTTTCATTAGCAAATATTTTTCTTCACCATTACCAGAAAACACCATTTCATAAGTATGAAGCTTATTATAAAAGTGAGGCATTCAAATCTTAGAAAAAGCAGAGTTTGGATCCCACAGTGTTTCTAGGCCTTTCCTATGCAGAGTTGGTCTAACAAGTGTGTTTAATAAATCACAAAGCTCTGCACAAACCCAACTGAGAACCTTGGGAAGCCATCCTTTCACATCAAACTGAGGGTGGGGTGGCCCACAAGGCAGCTCCTGTAGAACTAATCACATCTTGTTTTTTATGAGCCCAAAGAATCAGCCCTACAGATGCTAGTTTACTGTGAAGACATTTGAGTTATTCCTCAAGGTAAATTACAAGTTCAGAACCTCTCATGAACTATATTTTATTAATTAGACCATTCCCATTGCATATAGAAGATGGAGTAGCTCTCACTATCTTCCTATCATACTTTTCCTCAACTTCTTAAAGTGCATGTGCACATGCACACACACACACACACCCACATGGTTGTATGCAAAACCCAGACTCGTCCATCTATCCTAATCCCCAAGTCAGGATGATTCTTCAGGGATGGGCATGTGGCCAGGGATGGACCAATCAGAGCCTTATCCCGGGGATAATTCTATCTGATACTCCCAAGGGAGACCTCTTGCCTCTGAGCTCTCAGAGCCAGAAAGACATGAACCCAAGCCTAATGGCAATCACAATTCTTTTGCCATGTGAAGACAACTATCTGCCATAGGAGGGACCAGGCTCCAAAGCTGCCCCATTCCTCCTCAAGCTCTTGCTTCAGATTCTATTAGCTGATCCAGCATCCTTCCAACAGAGCCATTAATAAAAAAATTTAAAAAAAACTGAAGGTAGTTTGAACTGAATTTCTTTCCCTTGCAAATAGAAGCATCAAGATGTATACATAAGGAGAAAGCATTATTCCCATTTTATAAATTAAAAAAAAAAAACAAAAAACTTAAGGCACCAAAGGTCATGTGGCTTGGTCTTAACTGTGAATATAACATTAGACTTTGAAATTGCTGCTACTAATCTGAAAACCAATACTTGAGATGCCTCTCCAATACTTGAGATGCCTCTTCTATAGCAGTGACTTTCAGAGACTTTTACAATTCACTGTAAGAAATACATATTATATTGCAATCCTGTATATGCATGTGTGTATATGAAACAAAAATTTCACATAATACTTGCCCTTATTAAGTGTAATGAACTCTTTTATCCTCTATTCTATTTCATTCTTTCAAATGCTGTTTGTGACCCACTAAATTGATTTCACCTCCCACTAAACTGATTTCACAACCCACTAGTGGGTCCAAAATTGTAACTATTTAAAAAATTGTTCTATAGCTGTTTCCACAATATATTGCTAATTAAATAAGCCTTCTCCCCATTATAAATTTCCC